CAGCGGGCTTTTGTAAATAACAGTCATAGCAGCTCGATATTATAATAGAGAGAGCTTAAGAATGGAAAGCTCAACTCAAGTTTGTAAATAATAACAGTGAAAGCCTCAAGAGATGGAGAATCATTTCGAAGATGAAGCTGATGAGATTGATTAGAGGTAATCTGAACCCTTTATCAAGTCGTTTAAGACAAAGCATCGATTCCTTCGGCTAAGCATCGATTCCTTCGGCTAAGCATCGATTCTTTCTATTATCATTGTGAACTGTATTTGACATTTCTCTCCAATTCCAGGCATGCATATATTCTTCTGATACTATGGGGATGGAAATATGTAAACAGAGGCAAAGCTGAATCTGTGGATATTATGTTGTGAGGTTTCTCATATGTTAAAACTTTGTACATAACAGACCAATATTTAGCTGTGATATTTGATGTAAATAACAGCATTACTTTATAGCCTCAAACTAAATATGTTATCTGATATATATGGTCAATCATCTGTCATGATTCCTATGATTGTTTTGCAAGGTAAGATAGGTGTTGCTTGACCAGGTGATGTAAATTTATTGCTTTATATATAATATATAAGGTGATGTTTTAGCTTTCAACTTTGTAAAAAAATTGTAGTTAATACCATTGCAATTTTGTAGTTGTTTTAACTTAAAAAAAAACTCAACAAATTAATCTCCCAAAAACACTTCATAAATATAAATTTAAACCAGGTTAAACACCAAATATAGTGCATTTAAATCGTGATTAATAGAAGGAAAAAAAATATGAACATTTTGGAAAATGAAAATGTGCAAAAGAAATGAAATAGATGTTGCAGAATTTTCATACCAACAACCAAAGGCCCTGTGATTCAAACCCCCATGTACAAGAGAATGTCATTTCCATTCCGTAATTCTGTGTTGTCAAGCTCCAATTTCATCTCATTTTTGTTTTAAAATTTGATTTATTTATGGATGTAGTAACATAAAGCTTCATGTGGAGGCAAAGCTAAGTAACACCAAACAAAAATAAAATAAAATTAGCTGACCCTATTCCCATATGTAATAGGGTGAGGGGGAGGTAGCTGACCCTATTCCCATATGTAATAGGGTGAGGGGAGGTAGCTGACCCTATTCCCATATGTAATAGGGGGAGGGGGAGGTAAGGTAGTAGGCTGCCCCCAACGCCAGGTTGAGAACAACTTCCGTAGAAAACCTCCGGCAGTCAGAAATTTTTTTATGAAGTTTCCATTTCTGATATCTCTCAACTTCCCTACTTGAAAACCAAACCTCCAAACCTCAACAAAAATAAAGTCCCATGTCTTTTTCTCTTTAACAACCCCCTTCTTCTCCATATATATATATAGATGTATGTATGTATAGCCTCTATGCTAAGCAAGGTTAGGTGAGTGACAACTACAACTCAAATCCCTTCCCTTTTTCTTGTACCATTTTCCTTACTTGGCCTTTTCATCATCTTCTTCTTCTTCCTCTTCCTCAGCTTCATATCATTTCCCAAATGAACTGTTAGAGGATCATAAGACAAAACCAAGAGAGTAAACATGCAGCTTCATATCTCACCCAGTTGGAGACATGTAACGGTGCTTCCTGGGAAAGGTGTTAGAGAATTCATCAAGGTGAAAGTCGGTTCCAGGAGGGTTTCTTATCGGATGCTTTTCTATTCACTTCTCTTCTTCACCTTCCTTCTTCGTTTCGTCTTTGTTTTGTCCACCATTGATAGCATTGATGGCGATCATTCCAAGTGTTCCTCCATTGGTAACCTATTCTCTTATTCAAACTGTCTACACATGCATATATATATATATATATATATGCATATATGTATGTATGTATGTATGTATGTATTAACTGTTTTCTGCAACATTGGTGTTAGAGTTCATGGGGAATCTAATAGCATGTTCTTACAAGATTTTGAGAGGTCGTGCATTAACAATGCAGTTAAAGATCCTTTGTTGCAGATATCAGATGAACAAACAAACAAAAAAACTAGGAAAGAATCAAAATGGATAATGTCATTAAGATTTGATGAATATCCTTAGTCATAGAGGGAAAAAATGAGAGATTCAGAAGGAGAATCTTAGTTGATAATATAAGTTATATATATATATATATATATATATATATATATATATGGTTAGGATCCACTTACACTTAGTGTAAAACTTTTTAGGATCGTTGGATGAAGGGAAATCAAAGGTTGAGATTAACTTCTCGGTTTTTTTCCAGTGAATATCTTCTCATTTCTACTGTCAATCTCAGCCTTTGATATCCCCTCATCCAACTATTCTAAAAAGGTGTAAAACTTAAAAGTTTTACAATATGTAATTGGATCCTAGCCTTATATATATATGCATGCATGCTCATTTGCCAATAACAACAATTGATTACTGGTTTTTTATTTTTGGATTTATGGTAGGCTGCTTGGGAAAGAGACTAGGACCAAGGATCTTGGGAAGAAGGATTGAATCAAAAGTAAATTCCTAAACTCATTCTACTACTTAACAAATTATTTCATTGTATATTTTCTTTTTTTTTTCAAATATTAGGTCATAATTAAGAATATCAATTAAGTTTTTTTTTTAATTTGAAATAGGTCCCAGAGGTGATGTACCAAATCCTAGATGACCCTGTAAGCAAAGATGAAGTACAAGCAAAGACTGATGTTCCTCAGACATTACAAGAGTTTATGTCTGAAATGAAACAAAGCAGATTAGATGCAAAAACCTTTGCTCTAAAGCTCAGAGAAATGGTATTAACTTCAATTGTTCTGTTTTTCCCCCATATAAGAGATCATTGGAGCTAAAGCATTGGTTTTTTTCAGATACTTCTGCTTGAAAAAAGAACCAGAACAGCCAAAATCCAAGAATATTTGTACCGTCATGTAGCATCGAGCAGCATTCCGAAACAACTTCATTGCTTAGCACTAAAGCTAGCCAATGAACACTCGAACAATGCAAAAGCTCGCCTCCAACTCCCTTCGGCGGAACTTGTCCCAGCCCTTGTCGATAACTCTTACTTCCACTTTGTCCTTGCCTCGGATAATGTGCTTGCAGCCTCGGTCGTGGCGACATCTCTTGTTAAAAACGCGTTACGCCCCGAAAAATTAGTGCTACACATAATAACCGATAGGAAAACTTACTCCCCTATGCAGGCCTGGTTTTCGCTGCATCCTTTAGACCCTGCTATAATCGAGGTTAAGGCTTTACATCAATTCGACTGGCTTTCGAAAGGGAAGATACCTGTTTTGGAAGCAATGGACAAAGATCAAAGAGTAAGGTCACAGTTCCGAGGGGGTTCGTCCGCCATTGTAGCAAATAATACTGAGAAGCCTCAAGTTGTCGCCGCTAAACTACAAGCATTGAGTCCAAAGTACAACTCCTTGATGAATCACATTCGGATACATTTACCCGAGGTAATATATAAAACTATGTTTTGTTAGTTTAAGTAGATGGAAAGGGAAGATATAGTCCAAATAGTAATGGCCTTTCTCGATTTCGCAGTTGTTTCCAAGCCTTAACAAGGTAGTCTTCCTAGACGACGACATTGTGATTCAAACCGATCTTTCGCCTCTATGGGACATCGATATGAATGGAAAAGTTAACGGTGCAGTGGAGACATGTAAGGGTGAAGATTCGTTCGTCATGTCGAAGCGGTTCAAGAGCTATCTCAACTTCTCCCACCCTTTGATCGTGCAGAATTTCGATCCCAACGAATGTGCATGGGCATATGGCATGAACATTTTCGATCTCGAAGCTTGGAGGAAGACAAATATTAGCCTTACATACTATCACTGGCTTGAAGAGGTAATATATACACACACATAGACACATATGCACACATACTTCGATTTCCTTATGCTGATTAAATCAAAAAAAAAAATCTGCAGAACTTCAAATCAGACCTCAGTTTGTGGCAACTGGGAACATTACCCCCTGGTTTAATTGCATTCTATGGGCATGTTCATGTGATTGATCCATTTTGGCACATGTTGGGATTGGGATACCAAGATAACACGACTTTATCCGATGCTGAAACTGCCGGTGTCATCCATTTCAACGGCAGAGCGAAGCCTTGGCTCGATATAGCCTTCCCGCAGCTCAGACCATTGTGGGCTAAGTACATCGATTTCTCGGATAAATTCATCAGGGGATGTCATATTAGGGCTTCTTAACAAGGACTTTTTGAGAGTATAGTGAGTGACCATAATGATGATAAAACTATGTACAATATTTGTATATGAGGAACATATAAGTGGAGAGAGTTCTTTGCAAATTCAAGGCCTTCTGAGTTTTTTTCCTCAACTGTTCTTCCCCTATGATGGTTTCTATTCTCTCTTTGTATTATTCATTTGTTTCTAGAGAACCATAAAAGCTTACAAATATACAGATGTAAGTAACAGTTTCGGATTTGAATATTCATGGTTATCCGGTATAGGCCATGAGGTACTGGTTGGTGAGCTATAAACATCAAGTTCAAGGATTCAACCATCAAACACCAACTAGTATAACAATAGATTGCTGCCTTTTTGAGCTACAAGGCAACTTCAACTACTTGATATGTCTATTTGACAATATTATATTTATATATCATTATCAGCATTGGATATGTTAGAACCCCCAAAAAAAATTCAGCATGGGTATGCTCAGAAGATAAGCTTGGAAAATTTGAAGTGAACTTCTTTCCTACAACATTTGAGACCAAATCTCTCAAGAACTTGGCAGATTTGGTAATAGATGAACTGATAGCCATCAAGTTATATAACACATACTTGACTTCCTCGATGGTCGGTCGCGATTTGAACCTTGAAACCAGCTTCAATGCACCATCTTCTACAACAAAAACTGTCCATTGCTCCCCACTTGAAACCCCGTCTCTCACACACTTGAAAACCATTCCTTTCCTTTTACTCAAAATACTCCTAACCTCTAAACTCATAAATGCGATTGAAAACCAAAATAATAAATTGCGATTAAATTAGATACTCATATGATTAACAGAAGCAAAATAAAATTAATTATGAAAAGTGACCACAAAACAAATTGTTTTGTAGACACGAGTACCTAACCTCAACCTAGAACAGAGAAAAACAAAGGTTGCCAGATGAACTTATTAAAAATTTACATGTAATTACCAGCACCAAATCATAGGAGAACAATTGCAGGCAGTCACCCAACAAAGCCAGTTAGAAAAACTTCAGTGAACTAAAACAAATCAGAACAATGACATGACTAATACCCTTGTTTGCGTCAAAATACAAACCCTAATCATTGTTGGTTGCCGACTTAGGCAACAGGAGGGCGGAGGGCGTGGTCCTGTGAGGTATCCACTGCCGCAGGCGGCATGAATTGCCACATTGCAACTCCAGGATAACCAATGAAAGGAACCAACTTGTTCCCAGGAGCTTGACCTGGGGCGGCAGCGAACGCAGCAGGAATTGCCGGCGGTGTAGGCGGCATGAAGTTAGGTTGTGCATTCATTGCTTTGAGTTGCTGCTCCAACTTTTCCTTCTCTGACTTCAGCCTCTGCTTTTCGTCACGAATCTCATTCTTTTCAGCCTAAAAAGAGGAAATGCAGTTTAATATTTTGAGCAGTTCCAAATAACAAATTGGATGCTAAGGATTCGGACTATTCACCCAAAAATAGACCCTCAAACCAGCCTCACCTTCAGCTCTTTAATCCTTTCCTGGAAACTTGTATTTGAATCCTTCAATTTCTGGGCTTCACCTCGTAATTGGGTCACCATTTGGACAGCATCAATCAAAATAGCAGACTTATCAGTTTTGGGAGGCCTTCCAGGTTCCAGAATAGAACCCAGCTCCATAAACCTGTTATTTACACAATTTTAAACATTCATGCTTGGAAGAGAGAGAAAGCAAACAAAGAGAAGGCAAGAGAAGAGAAAAGAGAAGTTAGTACTTGTCATTTAGCCTATCCCTACGCAATTTCTCCCTACATGCTTTGGAGCTTGATGCATTGCATGATTCGGATCTAACCCTGCAATAGAAACGAAGTAAGAGATAAGATTCCTCTGATACCATACCAAGTCAGTTCTGTTTTGTAATTGAAATAATTATAGATTCAGAGACCGTCATGTCAATAATAATGAAAAAGGAACATTCAAGAAGATGCTCCATCTAAATCATCTTATTGTAGAACATAAATTGCTGCATACTTGAGCAACTATATTGCTTTGCAGCAATTAAACGCTAAGACAAATGAAAATGCTTCTAGCTGCTCAAAGGTAAATGCCCCAAGATATTATTCTTTCTGTCCATTCAATATCTCATGGCCTATAAGTTTGAATAGTTCTATATTATTCCTTCAATAAAATTATTATAAGCTCCATAACAGAAAAGTGTCCACCTATTAAACCAGTTCTGAACAGTTTTCTAAACAAACATATCAGGGTATAAGTGGGGAAGTGGAACAGGGTAATATACTTTTTTTTATCTTTTTTATTTACCATTTCATATAGTGCATGAAGGACAGAGTATTACCTCTTCTTTGAACCAGATTCCTTTAGACCATCTGAATCTCCAAATGAGCCATCAATTCCCACACTATGAATAGATCAAAATGGACAACAAAGAAAATGAGCAGGGAAAAGAAATCCAACAAAATATCGAAGTGAAAAGGTACAAGACAATGTTTGAACAACCCCCCCCCCCCACAACACACACACACACCACCACCAGCAGGAAAAAAAAACAAAGAAAACCCAATCAATAAAAGAAAAAAAAAAGAAATAGGATCTCACTTGCCAATAATATTGAAGCAAAACAGACTGCCAGGGTTAAATGAAAACAAACAAAGAATTGGAAGATCTACACTGGAACAAAAGTTATTAACTGTGCCAAAATTAACACCCCAATGGACATAGAGATCTTGATGGAGACATCTGCTTACAAAATAAGCCATTTCAGAACCAAGGTTTCTCTTTCATTCAAAAGTTCAAGGTGCGGTGGATAAGCACCAAATACAGGTGCAGATCGGAATGATAACCATTGACCAAGGACTTCAATAAGGACTCCTGCTAACTTTTTCCAAAAAGTTAATCAAGACATGTTCCTACCCTAATAGATCAGAATTTCTAATTCCACAAATATCTCAAAGACTCGAGAAGCAAAGGATAAAATCCCATACTAAGTAAAGACAACACGCCTAATCTAGTGCACGTCAACAGTGTTGTTGCATGGTAACACGCTGCAAATGGACAAGCCTACAGCATCCTCACTCATCACCACCTCAAGTTTGCAACAAATTTTGTTTCCAAAATATGGGAAAAGATGTCCATAAAACATGTTTCCTCAAGCACTATATTCCAAATTTCAATAATAACATTGCTTTGATTTAAATAATCCTCAGAGAACTTTAACCACTAACCCGTTCATGAAAATTGTATTTCAGGATTAAAACACTAAATGTTTTCCAAACAAGCAAGTGACAGAATGCATATAATAGATGAGAGCATGAATGGCATGTATTCTAAAAAATCACATCTCCCTTAACATATGAGCACTCAAGAAGTACATTTGCAAGTTACATGACATACAAACAAATACCATAGTCTTAACCAAATGCAAGACATAACAGGTGGCTTGAACATGATGCCTCCTTGTGCAAGTTCGTAGATCTCAACCGTTGGCTAGAATGAAGAATAGGTGAATTTGATCAATTCTCAGCACTAAATTTTCTGAAAAATAAATTAATAACCTTTTTCAAACAATAATATCCCCTAATAAATAAATAAATCTGTTAATGAACTTCAGATAAAGACCCAACCATTTTACATAATTTATATACACACACAAGCATCTCATAACTTTCACATGAAAAACAGGTGCAAAATCGAAACTTTATGAAAACTTCCATGAAACCTATTCATATTAAAACAAAACTACATCCCCCAGATGATTAAAAGAAGCGAGAAAGTCAATGAGTCAAATACAAAATTATCAAAACCCTAAATTGAAAATTAGAAGATGAAAAATAGCGATAAAAGGCAGGTATTTTCTAGGGGTTACCTGACGACATTAGAAGGAGCGTCGATTGGCTGCGTAGACCAAGAAAAACCGGGATAACGTCCGTCAGGGACAGGGATATCGTCGATCAAGGTCGTATAATCGAAGTGAGACCAATAATTGGAGTTCTCCGGGGACGCCATTCTCCGCCGGAAAGATTGAAGTGTTTGGTTATATTTTCCGGCTTTGAAGAAGGGCGGGAGCTGTTTGGGAAGAAAGAAAATTATTGAAAGTGGGGTCTTTTTTTCTTCTATATTTTCTTGGGAAAAGGGGGAGGATATGTGGAAAATGTTAGGGATTGGTGGCAGGTGATGAGCCTGCTCAATTTTGTTGCCAATTGGAATCTTTTTGGCAACTTGGCTCAAATTTTCAGAAAAACACACTATGAAACGCGTACTTCATGTTCATAGTTCAATCATATGTTTAGATCTAATTTTGGATAAATTACTCCCACAAATCATTCAATTATTAGTAAGATTACATACGAGTCATCTAACTTAACATATATATAAATTAGATCACTCAATTAATTAATTGTCACAAACAAGTCATCAGATCATTAAATATTGAATGACTTTTTTGATGTGAAATATTTTATTTATTAAAAAAATAGATTTTAGAGAGTTATAATTGCATCACTTAATTGATTGATTATAATAATAAAGTCACTTTTTTGATGTGTTATTATACCGATCACAGTGGTTATCCTATATGGTGGTTGATGAACCACAAATATCACTATAAGATTCACCTTTATTTTCTTGTTCAATTCATTAAATTATATCTATGATAGTGTCTCTCAAGAGTCATGAATTTCTCCAAAACATTTACATTTTTTGAACCTCGATCTACGACGTTCACTGTCAAATGACACCTGTTTTTAGATATGTTATTATTCTCTCACTAATGACAATCTAATCACCATTCAAATCGATGAATGGAGCCTTCAATCTTTAAAAATCCTAAAATCTAAAACGTGCTTTCTTTTTTAATTTTCTCTATGATTAACTGAATGACTCATTTGTGAATTATATTTTCAAATTGGGTGAGCTATTTATAATCTTGTCAATAATTGGATGACTTGTGGTGTAGTGACTTGTTTGTGATAAACGAGTACTTGAGTGATTGATTTATTTTTTTTAAATTTAATGATCAATTTATAATCAAATTAGTATTGGAGTGATATGAGTGTAATTTGACCTTTTTTATTATTTTAATAAATAGAAAGCCTGCTATCAATAACGTCTTAGTTAATGGTAAAATCGAACCCTAATAATTTTGAGATTTATAAGTTCTAATTTAGTTTTAGAGATAATAATATAAGGGGTCCCCAAATTATGATTTCTATTTTAAAATATATTACTCTTGAGACTATGACTATCATTCTAAATTGGTCCATAAACTTTAAAACATTCTATATCAATCTTTAAAATGTTATAAATTACTCTTCAAACTATGATTGTCGTGTATGATTAATTGGGTGTATGGCCTGTTTGCGTTTTGGCCGATGGTTATTTTCCTTGCTGCAGGCTGTCTTCGATTTGGTGAGCTGCCTTGAGGTGGAATGCTTCGGCTGTGTTATCGTTAGTCGCATGGTGGCTTGCTGCTGTTTGTGTACGTGCAGGGGGATGTCTGTTTTGCTTCACCATTGCGGGTGGGTTGCTTATTGATCTGTAAATATCGACTCGGAAGGTATACTCTTTTTCCTCCAAATAGGCTTGCAGGAGGTTTTTTAACGAGGCCTTCCGATGTCGTTTTTGTATGAATTTTGAATTAATCATACAAGCTCTTTTTTAAAAAAAAACTTTAAATTATCAGTATCATTGCATTTTGGCCCTTTTATTAACGTGCAATTAACTATAATTGTTAAAAAAATCAATTTATTTTTTGGGGGTAATGTGAATTGAACCGGTGGCCTTCTAAAAAGTTCCTAAGAGCTTCAAAAACAAAAGAATGTTTCATAATATTACAGGTTCAATTTCCATGACCTTGAAAAAAATATTATTTTTTAACCACTAGAGTTAACGATATATTAATGGAAAGATCAAAATAGAATGATATTAATAGTGTGAAGATTAATATAGAATATTTTAAAGTTTAAAGATTAATTTAAAATAGAGTTAATTACATCACATGTCCTTCAATTATGACCTTAATTCTAAATTATCCTTAAACTTTCAAATATTCAAATTTCATCTCTAAACTATGACTATCATTTTAAATTAGTCCTCAAACTTTTGAATATTTCAGTTTCATCCCCAAACTGTGATCTTCATTATAAATTGGCCCTCAAATTTTTTAACATTACAATTTCATCCCAAATTATACGTATATACTAATCACATCCCTTGTTAATAAAATCGTTAGGCCAAGTTATACTATTATATGTTTTTTAAAAACAAAATTTAGGTTAAACTATGGTTGAAACTGATTATATATTTTTGATGAATTTGGGGATGAAATAGAAGATTCAAAAGCTTAGGGACGAATTTAGAATGAGAGTAATAGTTTGAGGATGAAATTTGAATGTTTAAAAGCTTAAGAATCAATTTAAAATGAGGTCATAGTTTGGGGACCTCTTATACATTTAAGTTATTCATTTGAATGTATATATAAATTCTTATAGTAACTATTCGTATTGTATTTGTTATAACATTTGAATAATTTAATATTATTCTTATAATTATACTTATAACATTTGAATAATTTAATATTATTCTTATAATTATACTATATAATATATAAAATAATTATTTTTTTGGGAAACGTGAATTTCATGTTTCTTGCGCATATGATAAGTAAGGTGGAGAGTATGTGTAAACGCGGCCTGCTTGCAAGGCCACGTGATTAGCTGGTCAGCATCGTAGGAGAGAGCAAAGAAATAATAGTGGGCAACTTTTAGTGAAATAAATGATCGAATGTTTAGACAAACGTGAACTTCATGTGTCTTGTTACTTTTACTTTTAGACAAACGTGAACTTCATGTGTCTTGTTACTTTTACTTCATGGTTCATCCCTGAACTCGTGGAATCTCGGTATCCGTAGTCTCTTCTTTTATCTTTGAGAGGGAACAAAAGATGCTTACAGGGCATCCTTGATTGTTAGCCCGAGTGATGAAGAAACCCCAGGAGTGTTATGAATCTATTTTGGCAACTCTTGATTTCGGCATCTTACTCTTAGTTTTCCTATTCATCTCTTGTTTCTTATCTTCTTCCTCTTCTTCTCTCTCAACTCGGAATAAACAATATGTTTCCAAATTTATAGAGGGACTTTATAACTTACTCTAATCAAATGAGACAATAGTTACAAATTTAAAAATATTAATAAAATAAATTAGATTGGGAAAGGAAACCCATTTTATAATTAATTTCTATAAAATTAAATTAAAATATCGATAATTAAATTAAAAATAAAGATCTTAAGAAAACAAATTTATGATTGTATTAATTTGTAACTTTAAAATCAAAATTGTACCATTTAAAGACAATTTTTTTGGTAGATATGCGATTTCTATAGGTTACAAATACAAATTAATTTTAATTTAAGACGGTGTAAAAGATTAAATTAAAATTAATTTGTATTTGTCAAGTTCAAGTTCTTATCTGAATTAGTCAAGACGAAGCTTTAGAACCGGGAGGACAACTAAAAAAAATAAAAGAATATTACAATATTTCTTTTTATGTAAAGGTATTTATTAAATTTGTAAATACATTTTTAATATGTAAACCTGATTAGCGTGACCATTTATTAAATTTGTACACAACTTTTTTTTTAATATGTAAAGCTGGTTAACATGTTGAGAAACTATTGATCCATAGAGTTGAATTTATTGAATAGATAAAAGAGAAAATATAATAAAATTATAATTTAAAAAAGTTACAAAAACAAATGTTACTAACATAAAAAAATAAAATATAGTTATTGGTTACCTTAGCACACAAGTCAAAAGAGGAGGGTTAGGCTAATTTTCTTTAGCAAGTCCACATCATTGATTAAGAAATTGTGTTATCACCAATAATCATGTTTCACATTCTGATTTAAGTTAATAATGTTCCAAGATGGAGTAATTAACTTTCTCGATTTTCCCATATAGCCCTTTTTTAAAAAATAAAAATAAAAACTGTTTCCCGCTTCTTTTTCACACCAATGGCACAAAATATACATGGGGTAAAAGGTATTGGTCCAGACCCATAGATGTCAACTAGTAAATATGTTTATTTATTAGACTCATGGAGCATATGCTACTCAAAATATGCTGTGGGTTTTTTTTAATTAATCAATAGTATATGATTTAAATGACTCTCCTAATCTAATTTACTTCATTCGTAAACGTCAAATTTAAACCCTTGACATTGTTTAAAGAATTTAATATATCATCCCATTAGACTAACTAATTATTTTGGTTGTGGCGTTGCCTTTTGTCTCTAATTTTTCTTTTTTTTCATCAAAGGGATCTTAAAGGTTAAGTTAAAAATTTGGGAAAGAAGGATTTTAAGGGTATTTTCATAGATAACGTGGTTTAATATTGTATTTAACTCCATATACGGAGATGTTGAAGAAATCAAGTAATACAGCACAAGTAAAAAATAATACAAGTGCAATGACTAGCTATACAGATTACACCCCGCTTTTATGTTAGAATCACTCTCCATTTTTTTTTCTCCAATCTACTAATACTAGTAAAATATAGATTCAGGTAAAGCAAAAACAAAAACAAAGATCAGCCATAGCTCAAGCGAGAATCTGAGGTCCTCATGTTGAGTTGTCGTCGTGGAGTCCCTATCTCGCAAGCATTAACCCTCGCTGCGAAACGCAACGAGCAGAGGGACTCACCTGCTGAGGACGGCTCCGGAGATACATTTACAAACATCAGAGTCTTTGAGTCTCCGCCCAGACACGGCTGTGGTTAACCATGGGATTAAGAAAAATGTCGGATAAAAGATTTTATGATGAACACAATGTTTTCCATTGGCAAATAACTGCATGTGTATAGATTTACCTGAAGAAGATAAGTGAGTTTCGAGTTCCTAAATGGTACATGATCCTCCTTCTTTGCCAATGCAAATATAACATCGGCTAAAGAAGATAGACTCTTATTAATTGCCTGAATAAAACCGAGAAGAGAAGTTAAAAAAAAAAAAGAACCAGAAGGCGATAATCTTGGAGCAATATACAATAATAAGCGTTGTTAAAAATACTTGAGTCTCTTTCAACCGGTCCCCTGTTGAGCCACTCTTGGAAATACGCTCGCTTCCAGCAAGATCGATTAGGTTCAAAACACCTTGTACTTGTTGTTCGGTGCTCTGGTGGA